GGGGAACACGGGGTCAGGGGGGACAGGAGGTCAGGGACATGGGGACAGGGAGACACAGGGTTAGGGAGTCAGGGGGGACATGGGGTCAAGGGGGACACGGGGTCAGTAGGGACATGGTGACAGGGGGTCAGGAGGGTCAGGGGACATGGGGTCAGGGGGGACATGGTGACAGGGGGGTCAGGAGGGTCAGGGGACACGGGGTCGGGGGGCCAGCGGTGCCACCGCGGTGCCACTCACCCCTTGGCACACTGCAGGTTGGGGCGGTCGTGCAGGAACCAGGGCAGGAAGCGCTGGAACTCCTCGGCCGTGGGGCGCCGCGCCGTCTTCAGACACTTCCCCAGCAGGCAGCTCAGATCATCTGAGGGCACACACAGGGCTCAGTGTGGCTACCGGCCACGGCTGGGCACCTGTGGGCACCCAACGGCCACCCAATGGCCACCCAACGGCCACCCAACGGCCACCCAATGGCCACCCAACGGCCACCCAACAGCCACCCAATGGCCACCCAGTGACCAACCAACGGCCACCCAATGGCCACCCAACAGCCACCCAACGGCCACCCAATGGCCACCCAATGGCCACCCAACGGCCACCCAATGGCCACCCAGTGACCAACCAACGGCCACCCAACGGCCACCCAACGGCCACCCAATGGCCACCCAGTGACCAACCAACGGCCACCCAATGGCCACCCAACGGCCACCCAATGGTCACCCAATGGTCACCCAATGGCCACCCAACGGCCACCCAATGGCCACCCAATGGCCACCACGGTGAGCACCCAATGACCACCCAATGGTCACCATTGTGGGCACCCAATAACTACCTAGTGGCCACCCAATGGCCACCATGAATGGTCACCCAATGACCTCCCAATGGCCACCACGGTGAGCACCCAATGGCCACCCAACAGCCACCACGGTGGACACCCAATGGCCACCATTAATGGTCACCCAATGACCACCCAATGGCCAACATGAATGGCCACCCAATGGCCACCCAATGACCCCCATGGTGGACACTCAATGGCCACCCAGTGGCCACCATGGTGGGCTCTCAGTGGCCAGCCCAGAGTAGCCCCGTGTCCCCGTCCCACTCACTGCTGGTGGAGGGGCAGAACTCGCCCTTGTCCGGCCCGAACTGGTGGATGCGGCAGCAGCGCCCCATGGGGTTCAGCCAGTCCAGGAAATCATCCACCCACGAGGTGGCCGGGATGGCCAGGTAGGACCTGGCAGAGGGGACACAGGGATGGCAGAGTCGGGGACAGCCCGGGGACACCACGGGGACACCACGGGGACACCACGGGGACACAGGGCTGGCAGAGCCGGGGACACTCCGGGGACACCCCGGGCACACAGGGCTGGCAGAGTGGGGGACAGCCCGGGGACACAGGGCTGGCAGAGCCGGGCACAGCCCGGGGACACCACGGGGACACCACGGGGGACACAGGGCTGGCAGAGTCAGGGACACAGGGCTGGCAGTGCCGGGGATACCCCAGGCACACAGGGCTGGCAGGAGCCGGGGACACGGGGCTGGCAGGAGCCGGGGACACAGGGCTGGCAGGAGCCGGGGACAGCCCGGGCACACAGGGCTGGCAGGAGCCGGGGCCACAGGGCTGGCAGAGCCGGGGATACCCCAGGGACACAGGGCTGGCAGAGCCGGGGACACAGGGCTGGCAGGAGCCGGGGATACCCCAGGGACACAGGGCTGGCAGGAGCCGGGCACAGCCCAGGGGGGCCGCAGGGGCCGGGGGCGGGCACTCACACGTTGGGGAAGGCCGTGGCCAGCTGGATGGTCTGGGTGAGCGAGTCGGAGTCGCAGCCCGAGCTGGAGCAGATGGCGTTGGTGCCGTTGGCCGAGGAGAAGTCGTAGCCACTCGTGGTGACAAAGTAGGTGGGGACACCCACGGCCAGGTACTGGTTCATCGCCGAGAAGTACTCGAGCATGTACGAGTCCTGGGGACAGCCAGGTGACACGGGTGGCACCGCGGGCACCCCACAGGGGCCCAAAGGGGGGGCACAGAGGGGCCCCAGCATGGCTGGGTGTCCCCATTCACGGCCACAACACCCCATATATGGCCATGTCACAAAACTACGTGTGTCCCCATATATGGCCATGTCACACCCCCCATGTGTCACCCATCCCTGTCACCCACGGGGCCCTGGGGGGTCCCCAAAGTGTCCCCAGAGTGTCCCCACATCCCCACAGGGTGCGGTGTCACCCCCCCCAGCACCCCCAGGGGTCTCAGAGGGGTCACCCCACATGTCCCCATGTAGGGCGGTGTCACCCTCACGTGTCCCCGAGCCTCCCCACGGGTGTCCCCCCCTCCTTCGTGTGTCCCCCAGACCCCCGGGGCGCCGCCCCCACCTCGGGCAGGGCCAGCTCCTGGTCCAGCCCCACGGACACCTGGAACAGGAGGAAGAGCCCGGCACAGGCCAGGAACAGGAACAGCAGCACCTGGGGGGGAGGGGGCTGTGCTCAGAGACCCCCGGGGCACCCCAAAACCCCCCAAAAACACCTCGT